TGAACTCGAACCGCTGAAGCGTCGACCATTTCTGGCCAGCAACTTTCAGCGTCATTAAGCCGCTGCGCCACCGTGTCCCCCTAAGGGTTACCTTAGGGACCGTCTTTTCCCAGTTGTTTCTACCCGTCCAATCTGGTCCAGCAGGATGGGCATGCTCCAGGTCCCGTCAACCAAGGAATGTCAGCTGGCGGGGACCAGGAGATGTGCCTTTTCTGCTGTGGTGCCTGCCCTCTGGAACATCTTCCCTCCTGAGATTAGGATGGCCCCAACCCCTTTGGCTTTTCGGAAGGCCTTGAAGATATGGCTTTATGCCTGGGCCTAGGGCCACAAGCGTGCGAAGGGCCCTGTTTCATGGTCGTGCTGATATTGACGTTTTTTAAAGATCTCTTGGCTGCATTTATATTTTATTTTTTGTACTGTTTTAAATGCTTACTGTTTTTATTGTTGTCAGCTGCCCAGAGTCACTGGTCTGAGATGGGCGGCTATATAAATTGAATGAATGAATGAATGAATGAATGAATGAATGAAAGAAAGAAAGAAAGAAAGAAAGAAAGAAAGAAAGAAAGAAAGAAAGAAAGAAAGAAAGAAAGAAAGAAATTATGTTGTATGTTGTGGAGGATCCTAGGCTGACAGAGTTGATTGAGATCAGCCTCCTCAGAAGCAAGTGATCATTCCTTTTCCCTTTCTTAATCACACAAAGGAAGATCCCATTTCTATGGCTATGGAAATCACGTTTACTTATATTCTGTAATTATATTTCCATCTGATGAGCAGATAGGGATGCAATCAAAATTGTGAACTGTTGTTTACATAGGTATTCCCAAATGTAGTTTCAGAAGGAAAAGATCCACTTCCACATTTTCACAAGTTCATATGGATCCTAGAAACAGACACTACTAATGGTCCCAAATTGATAGTTGGATTCATAGCTTTGTGGCTTCTTCAGTTTAACAGCTAAGTATGGCAATATGATGTGAGTGGAGATGGATGGATGTAAATTAAGTTAAGAATAAGGGAAGAAAACAAACAAGAACTATAACATATTAATCATAAGGAAGATGGGGGACCTTCAAAATTAAATATTTAAAGAAAGCTTGTAAATGGGCAAGGGGAAACAGAAACAAGCAATTACATTAAGCTTGAATTCCTCTCCCTCATTTTTAATTAAAAACACATCAGTTTTGTCAACTGGGCTTTTAAATCCCCTCAAATAAGTTAGAGACAAAAAATAGAATTAATAAGGTTGTGAAAAAAAGATAGCAATTATAAGCTTTGAAGTTCCACTTGAGAAAGAGAAGCTCATGGACTAAATATTCAACCATCAAAGCTTAGGCTAGACATCCTCATTATCTGAGACTCAGATTTAGCAAGCCTCAAAAAAATGTGTGTGCTTTATTGTCAACTGCAGTCTCCCATCTCCAAGACCAGCAGGACTAATAGGTTTTCCTGCATCCTCAAAGAGGTTATCAAGACCACCTATCCTGTGAAGAAAAAGGCACCAGGCTAGAAACCAGGAGACGGTGGGCTCTAGTCCTGCCTCAAGCATGAAAGCCAGCTGAGTGACTTTGGGCCAGTCACTCTCTCTCAGTCCAATTCGCCTCACAGGGTTGTTGTTGTGGGAAAAGTAGGAGGAAGGAGTACTAAGTTTGTTTACTGTCTTGAGTTATTTATAAAAGTAATAAAGGTGGGATTAAAAAAAATCTAAAAAAAAGCAGGCAACAAGAGAATACCATTTCCCTGTGCTGAAATTAAAGCTGCTGAGTTGAAGAGCCTCCTTCTTCCTTACAGAGGCCACTGGGGACAGTTTCCCTGTGAAGATGACACAGCCATCTCTTTTGGAGGTTATGGACTCATCTTGGCTTTCAGAAATTACAACATAAGTGAAACATCAACCACTGATGTTTAAATTGCCTTGCTTACCTTTACGCTCCCCACTTCTTTTGCCACCTGGATCATGTCCTACTACATTGTAATCCCAAGGACAGAGTTTGGGGAGGAATAAGCTGAATATGACCCTACTGAAAATCTTAGTCACAAAGAAAGGATCAACTTTATTGTTATTTAGAATTTTGGAGCATAAAATCATGTCAACCTCCACCTGCAGTCAGAATAGCTATATATACCTGCATGAGATTTAGATCTAAAATAAACAATTTAACAAATTAACTGTCCTAGCAAGGGGTGTTTCCACAGGACAGTAAATTCTTGTTATTTGTGGTAGTTAGAGCCTCTGGTCACATTTTCATCAACCGATCAATACATAATCTTGTTTTATGTGTGTTTCTGTTTAAAGACACCTTATTTAATGTATATATTTCTTACAAATAAATAAAGTCCTGAATTTTTTTTTAAATTAAACAAAGTTTAAGCATTTAAAGTTTTATAAAAACATTAACTAAAATCTTACTTTTGATGAAGCAGTGCACTGTGGGGTTAAACCTCTTGATCTTGGCTTGCCCCACAAAAACCAAGGGAGACGTTGATGGAACTTATTCTGCAGAAGAGGAAGACACTGTATTTTCTCTGTAAGGCTCATCACCACCTTCTTCCACACAGGGGCACTAAGCTTGGGGGCTGTGATGGAATGGAATTATGAAGGCCAGACTCAGGGAGAAAAACGTTTTCTTTCATCTCTTGAGGTGCAAGGGAAAGATAAGAGGATGAGACTGGCACCTCCCTGAGGAATTCACAATGTTGTGGCTGGC